AAAAAAAAAAAAAATGTAAGGAAAGATGAAAGTCGTTAATTTAAGAAAAAAGTCAAGGATAAAATATGCATACAAAAAGTAAGGAAAAAAAATTGAAAAGGCTTCAATGTCAGCGACGGAGGACAAAGAAGTGATATAGAAAGGATGAACTAACGATGTTGATATAAGAAAACAAAGGACGTAAATAAAGCATGCAATGAAATTGAAATAAGTTAAAAGGATTGTAAATGTGAAGGTTGTATAGCAATGTTTTTTTTTTAACCTGCAAATTTCCCTTCTCCATCTGTTCATTTATTGTTAGAGAAAAAGTTTAAACATTTTTTTTTTTAATTTTCGTTTCATTCTCTTTTAAATTTGTTCTTTCACTGTTTCCTCCGTTAATGGGGAAAACGTGGGAAATTTATTACTTTGGCACATAAAACAAAATGGCGGAAAAAGGAAATATTTAAAAAATCAAGTTGATGTTTTTAAAAGCAGTTTGTTTTTGCCTTTAAAAATAGAGTGAAGTGATTGAAGTTGTACAAAAATAACAAAGGATTGAGATCATGAATTCTTTTCCATGAAATTAAACAAGATACCAACTCACTGTTCTGATCGCTCTACCCCACGTAAAATGTCAGGATTTTGAATATTTTTTTTTTTTTTTTTAAGTACGCAAACCAACTACATTTTGCTCCTGCTATAGATCTCGAGATCCTTGACAAAATTCCATGAAGGGCCTGTAATGTTATGAGTCCTGAAATGGCATCAACACTTCCTCATCTGCATGAACTTAAGCTTACAACTGGAGTGGCAATTAGGTCTTACCGTTTTACTGATGAACCAGCCAGATATAACTTTAAGTTTCTTTTCAAGCCTGTGAAACTCACTTGTGGTTTCTTGTTACTCTGTCATCTACAACAATCAAAACTTTAAATGCAACACCAATCACTATTTTATGTCTACCTGATGCAATTACAGACCTATCACATGTCTTCTTCTGATGTGTAAACTGGGTAGCCCACAGACGGAATTTATGGGTCTTTTTCAAATCCTAGCATTTAATCCAGAGATGTAGAAAATATAGGCAAAAGCAAACAGACTAATACAGGACTTATTGTTTATTCTTTAAAAAAAAAAGTCATGAAAGAATTAAGTGATATATTATCCAAATTTGGATAGATTACAAATACGCTTATGGTCCGCTAAATGTAGATATTAGTGGTCTAAGATAAGCTTATGGTCTGCTAAGTATATATATTAGTGGTCTAAGATAAGCTTATGGTCCTCTAAGTTTAGATAATAGTGGTCTAAAATAAGGTTATGGCCATCTGTTTAGATATTAGAAGTCTAAGATAAAGCTTATGGTCCTCTTAGTGTAAATATTAGTGGTCTAAATTGATGTATAGTTCATACAATGAAAAACTGTTTATTAGATGTGACTGTAGCTTGAAGCTCTCAAACCGAGATCAGCATAAGAGTTTTTCTTTCCAAAGAGGCTTCCGACAATCGTTTCTTTCTTGACAAATTGTAACGGCGGATATAAATGTGGCAATCATCTGGATTAACTAAGCCACTTAATATATCTAATATGGATGACATGAACATTTTTGAGAAGACTAAAAAAGAAAATATTAAGTGCCTTTTATACAAACGACTAAGATATTCAATCATGATATCGGAGTGGAGTTCAGAGTGGAAAAAAATATATTTCGGTAATAAAGTCGCGCGTGAAAACATCAAAGAGAACCAAGAGAAAGAATTGCACTTGCTACCAATAAAATCATCAGGTGGTTCGACGAAAAACTTAACAGCAGGTATCAAAGAATAGTGAATTATTATTATTGTTGTTCTTGTTGCTGCTGTTGTTGCTCTTATACATGTTTTCGTCCTCAAAGCTTAAGGTAATTCAGATGCATTATATTTTACGTTTCGATATATCGAAGTAGTATATTGACTTCATCATTTTCTGCCTTTCACTGCCTTACTTTTGAGCCCTGCTTTCTTGAACAATTTAATCCTTCTGCCTGAACCGCTGAGTCAAAATTCGCAAATAATTAGTATGTAACGTTTCACGATAGATATAAAAATAGGTACAAGTGTTTACCTACCGTTCAACCAGTGGCTGGGCATGAAGTCATTTTTCTCTACCACTGTTCAACTGGTGACTGGGGTTTATGGCATTTTTCTCTACCACCGGTAAAGCGATGGTCATGGCTCATAGGGATCAAATGATTATGGTGAATTTTTTTTCATCGGTATCGTTTATTAATTTTTCTTTTTTCTTGAGTTAACTCTTTCTATTAGTTTTTTTTTACAGTAAGGTTCACCCTGTACAAGGTTCAGGAGCCACTCGAACTAGAGAGTTACAGAGTAAGAGGCACAGTTTATACGGATAGGTGGAGTAGATAACCGTTAACCCTAAACTTGAACAGGTTAAGATTGTAGAGATCGGTAAAGCATCCTCTTAGGATCTGCAATGTCATCGATTCTGATCAGGCATCTCGACTTCAGTCATTTTCTAACCGATATGATGTGGCTTTCCTCTGTCTTTTCTACAATCATCATCATGGCAACTGTTCTGACGAGCTTTTTCCCCCAAGTGTCCCGACTACATGAATTTAAGTGTACTACTTGATTGGCAATTAGATCCCACCGTTTTACTGTTGAAATGGCTAAATGCAACCGCCATTTCTACTCCGACAGTTACTCGCACTTCCCGTCTGTGTAACTCCCTTCCGTTTTCTTGCTTCACTGATAACTACAATGTTCTAAAATTTAAATACAATGTCAATCACCATCTACTGTCAACTTGAACATTGTTCTTTCTTGGCCCTTTCCCCAGTCCTCCCCATTCTCAGTCTTCTCATTCTCTTTCACTTCCAAAACCTGTTATACCCTGCGTACTAGTGGCATTACCCCCTTGCTTGGGGGTGAAATGATTAAAAAAATGTAATAACAGTCCTCCTACATGACATTGAATGAAAGATGAAGAAAAGCCTTGTGGCAACAGGAATATTGTTCTACAGAAGGATACTGAGAATACCATGGACTGAACATGTGAGCAACGACGACATTTTAGAGAAAAGAGAAAGAAAGAAAAAAAAAACCACTTTTATGCAGACTCAGAAAGAGACAGTTGTAATTCCTTGGACACATAATAAGGAAAGAAATCTTGGAGAATTTAGCACTCACAGGGCAAATTGAACGCAATCGGGACAGAGGACAACTAGCCAACGAATTTGGTAAATGGTTAGCAGAACATAGATTAAGAGATACAGCAAAAGGCAGGAAAGTGTGGAGAGTCTTGATCGCATGTATCCTGAAGGGACACGTCACATAGAAGAAGAAGAAGAAGAAGAAGAAGAAGAAATGCTGATGCTTTCTTCCCATCAAATGCAATGTATTATATTTATCCACACTGAAGTATTATTATAAATATATAATTTAAATTATTTATAATATATAGATATCATAAATAATCAATATATAATATATAAATATATAATATATAAATAAATATATTATAAAATATAAATATAGAACATAAAATAAATGTCAAGAATGAGAAACGGAACAGAAAGAAAAAGGCGTAGATATCAGTTGACATCGGAGGACACATTACACTTATTAAAAAGGAAAGTTGATATTAATGCACATAAGATTCCAGCTATCCTTCTGCCTACAGTCGTTCACCACATTTAAAGTTAAAACTATTGAAGCCATCCCCAGAATTAGCATAGGATGAAAAATAAATTTTAAACGATCTGTTATTAATAGATTTGACACTCAACAAAAAACTCTTTACAAAAATACGTGAATGAAACCTGATCTACAAATTGATTTCTTAGAAAGAATACATATTCTGTTTATACGAACCTATCCTAAAAATCTTGTCGGCATTAAATAACACATGCCGTAAAACAAAATAAAGCACATCAAACCAAATTGGGTTTCTGGTTCCTTCTAAAACCTTCTAATTCTGTATTTTCTTTTTTTCAGCTTGCGTCGTAGTAGCATTATCACCTTGCTTAAATTGATTCAATAAATAAAATTCATATTTAAAGTCTGTAGTTTTATTTTTTATGTTAAATGTATGGCATAATTTGTAGAAATTCTGTTCACCTTATATATTTTAAATTATATAATTTTACCTATATATTTAGGTTCTATTATTATTATTATTATTATTATTATCAAATAATGATTTAATTTGAATGAAAATAAAGAAAAGAAGTAGAAGTTATGAACGAGATTTGAATAACGAGATTTGCACGAGATTATCAGAGCGAGATTTGAATGAAAGTGATGATAGGAACGAGAAACTAACGGCAAAAAATGCACAAAGGTTTTGGAAAAAATAGAAAGACCAAGAACGGTGGTAAAACGAAAACGAAAGAAATAAAATTAATAAATAAGCGAAGGAAAAAAAACATAAACAAACGAAGAAAAGTTAAATCTGATTAAAAATAAGAAAGAAATGAATGAAAAGGGAAAGAAAGAAAAGAAAAAAGAAATACAAAACAGAATGTTTAACGGAAAGGAAGAAAAAATTTTGAATGAAAGAAACAAGATGAAACGTCAAGCAAAAAGCGGAAAAGAATTTCTTCGAGAAAATCATAAAAGCCGTAACATGTGATGCTTTTATAAGAAACTTTTGCGATATGATAATCGGGGCACGTTCTTCATTCGCTACTTTCAGTGTGCCAGAGTATAAGAGAAATTTTGCAGGTGAACTCAGGGTCGTGACGTTAAAAACGGGAAGCTATCACTTCCTTGTAAATGTCGAAAAAATAAAGTCTAGATTTATTTATTTTTATTGCTATTATTGATTTTTACTCCAGAGGAGTTTATTAAATAGAAATGACAGCGAAAAGCACGAAAAATAAAGAATGTGTGAGAAAATAGAATAAAAAGAAAGAATGAAAAAGAAAAAAAAAGATGAAAAAGAAAGAATAAAAAAGAAATAAAAATAAAATAACAAGAATAAAGAAACAAAAAAAGAAACAAAGAAAGAAACGTTAAGAAAGTAAGAGAGAGATAATAAAAGTATAAGGTATCAAGATATTTAAAAATGAGAGAAAAAAATGAAACTTATAAAGAGGGAGAGAGAATGAGAGAGAGAATGAGAGAGAGAAAGAAAGAGAGAAAATGTCTTTTAAAAAAGGAAAAAAGGAATGATGATTTATAACAAAGAAAACAAAAAAGAACTAAAGATAAAATAAAATAGAAAAATGAAAGAAATAATAAAAATATTAAAAAGAAAAAAGAAAGGAAGAGACGCTAAGAGAGAGAGAGAGAGAGAGAGGGGGTGGAGAGGGAGAGAGAGAGCGATAAAGTATAAGTAATGAAGATATTTAAAAATGAAAGAAAAATAAATGGAACGTATAAGGATAGAGAAAGAAAGAGAGAAAGACAGTGAGACAGAGAAGGTTTTGATAGAAAATAAAACTATGAAAGAAGAATAAAAAATGGAAAAAAAACAATGAATGATGTTTTAATTCATAACGAAAAAAATAAACAAGATCTAAAGACAGAAAAAGAAAAGAAGAAATAATAAAAAACAAAATAAAGAAAGAATGAAAAAGAATATGAACCAAAAAGGAAGAAGAAAACTTAGAAAAACGAGGAAAGAAGAAGAAAAATCGGAAAAAGAAGGAAAGCCTAAATGAAAAGAAAAATCGCATATCGATGCAATAAATCTGGGTTAGCGAAATGCAGTTGGCTTAATATTTGGCAAATGCTAAAGAAACGCCGAAGGATATATATATCAGTGTGTGGTATTTATTCATACAAAAAGTACAAATTGTGGCACGAGGCCAATAAAGGGGAGGGGTAGAGGCTGGTCAACACTAACTATCTTATACCTAGCTAATCAGATTCGCGACCCATTCGTACATTACATTTTACCCATTCACCAAAAGAACTCGTCCATCACCAAACAATCCTTCAATCACCATAATACCACGTGCTCTCAAGGGAGAACTACCAAAATCGCGTCCCATGCCATAAAAATTTTAATGATGATATATATATACAATTCTAATAATGATAAAATGAGAGGGGAGGGAAATGAACCCAATAATAAACTTAAAATAAACACAAATACAAACTAAACATAATTGAAGTTAGTAGGGACCGTCCAACCCATAAAACAGAGAGACCGCTGTATTCTGCCCAGGGGACAAAATCAAGGGACGCTCTGGCTAAGGGAGTGAGAAAAATTATAAAATATTAGGCTGGAATGGGAAAATATAAAACTGGCCCAGTCGAGATGAAAGGGGGGGTGTCAAAACAAACTGGGGAGGTTGGGAATCTTGACTTGGATCATAACCAAAGAACGGCCGGTATGCAGGCCAGGAACAACACTTACTCACATTAACTAGGTACACTGAAGCTTGTCTATCCTAACCAAGGGGAGGGTTCCACAGGAAGCCACCCCGATGTGCAATAGGTTGACCTAGAAGAGAAAATCAAGGCTAGCCCCGTTCACACGAAGCAAGCTCGCTTCTTTTACCCACCTTTCGCTAAAGACAGTCGAATGCAATCGATTTCTATCCGATCTAATCTTCATCTTGAGCTCAAAGAATCGAATTAGATCCGGATGAGAAAGACGATTGCCTCGCAAGACTTCCTCCTTTCGCGTCGTCCAAATCACCATTCGAGCCGTGGCCATCAGCGTCAGAAACACCATCTGTTTCATCCCGGAATACGGGGGCGACACATTGTCACACGCGTATGCGCGATCAATGGACACAAGCTCTTCGGGAGCGAGACGAGCCGTCAGCTCGCCGACATGGTCCCATAAGGGGCGGACCTGGGGGCAATGGTAGAAGGCGTGCGCAGCCGTTTCTTCTAAGCCAAGGCTACACCGTTCACAGTCTGGCAAATCCGCCAAGCCCCATATGAAAGCCTTGTCGTTGAGAGGCAGCCGATTCCGAGCCAATCGCCAGCTAAGCGAAACTCAGGGTTATTGAGGTAATCCGCCGCTGGCGCCCAAGACCAGTAGGAGCGAAACTCCTCCTCCGACATGCCGAGCATATCTCGTAGGGGATCCTTCGCGGGCCTCTCCACTAATTCACGATAGAAGACCTTCCTAGGCCGAGAAAGGTCACTGGACCGGGGAACGGCCCTCAAGGCCGACCGACACGCGCGAAGGAAAACCGATTGATCTCGGGGTTTACGACCGCGCTCAACCCGCGAGATGTGGGGGGGACTGATGGTAAGGCCAGGGAACGCGTCCCTAACAATCCCCTCCAGAATCGGATCTCCTCCAGTCAATGCACGGCGTAGGAAAGCCAACCTAGAGGCACGGATGTGACTCGGCAGGTGCGGCATTCCCAGCCCCCCATGACACAGACTCGTCTGTCGCCCCGATTCCCACGTCCCCTCAATAAAATGGAGGATAGCGATCGCTCGAGCGCCATCTTGTGGGTCTTACAGAGAGGAAGTACGGACAATCGATAAAAAATCAGGGGGAAAATGTATTTAGCACACACCTCCGCCCTGCCCTTCACGGACAACCTCCGTCGATTCCAAGTCTGACCGGCGGAATCGACCTTTGCTCGTACTTCAGACCAATTCTTCTCCAGCTGGAGGTCAGGCCCAAACCACACTCCAAGAATGCGGACAGGACCGTCTGTCCAACCGAAGCGGCCCGGAAGAGCGACCCCCTTCCAGGCACCTAACCGCAAGCCGGACGACTTGTCGCAGTTTATTTTGGCCCCTGTCACCTTCTCGTACCGATCAAGCGCCTTCTGTACCGCCTCAATGTCGTTGCGGGACGACACGAAAGCAGATGCGTCATCGGCGTACGCGGAAACCCTGGCTCGAGACCCTCCAGGAACGGCAATTCCACGTAGGGCCGCACTGCCGGTCTCGTCCTTCAGCCGGCGAAGAAGAGGCTCCAACGCCAAAGCATAAAGGAGAGGCGACAGCGGACAACCCTGACGAACCGACCTAGACAGCACGAACGCGTCCTACAAGCTTCCGTTCACCTGTACCACCGCACTGGGGGAGCGATACAGGAGGCTAATCCAGCGGCAGAAATTGGGTGCGAATCCAGCGGCCTGCAGGACAGCAGCAAGGTAGCGATGGTCGACCCTATCAAATGCCTTGGACTGATCCAAATTGATCAGCGCGGCTTCTTCGTCGTCTTTTACACCCTCTATGATCGTGCGGATCAGATGCAGGTTGCTCTGAATTGTTTGGCCCTCACAGAACAAGTCTGCTCAGGTCCCAACAGAGACTCGGCAACTGACTGCAAACGCTCCTGCAGGATCTTGGCCATAATCTTAAACTCTGTGTTTAGCAGATGGACCCCGACCGAAACCAGTTGTTGAACACTGCAGTCAAAATTGCAACAAAGATGTGCGACAGCCTCAAGTACAATTCATAGGGCAAACCATCCAGACCGGGTGACTTGCCTCGGCCGACCTTCTTCAAAACCGCGTAGACTTCGCCCTCCGTAATCTCTTCCTCGCAGCTAGCCGCTTCAGTCGGCGAAAGCCGAGGAAAGTCAGCCAAATAGCTACGAAACTCCTCCTCACGGAGACCAGGCTCATTGGTAAACCGGTTCTCGAAATGGCGTCGAAACGCTCCGCACATGTCTTCAGTGGCCCGAAGAGTATGCCCCTCCGGGGATTCTTCCCTGCGCAGATCTGCGCCCAAGTTCACGGCTTCGGAAGACATCTTGCTTAACTTATGTCTAATTACCTGACCCATGTACCGCTCGCTATTCGATCGATCCAGGGCCTCCTTAGCTAAGGCTATTTCTAGGGGATCTCCCCCCAGCCACCGCCCGGGAATAACTAGCTTTAATCGTCTTCACCTTTTCAGCTCTATCTAGAGCGAGCCGTTTGCTGAAATCAGTGGTGAAGGACCTAATCCTACATTTAAGGCGTTCCCACCATCTATTCCCGATAACCGCCCCCACTAGCTCCCTTGATGCACTAGTCTAATTATCTGCTCCTGGAAGTCCCGCCTGTCCAGTAAAGACAGATTGAACTTCCAGTACCCAGCCATTCTAGGCCTATTGTCTAACGCTACCCGTGCACGAACGAGTTTGTGATCCGAATAGCCTACCCAGTGGAACGTAGGGAAATCTAGTAGTTCTATGTCGGCTCTTCTCACTAACATTCTGTCAAGGTAGCTGACCACCTTGTCAAAAGGCCAATTAAGAGCCCACGTCCACATTTTTCCCTCGGGATGATCGACCCGGTATCTATCGACGAGACCATAATCGACGATCAGATCGACCAGGCTGCAATCGCCCCCTCTCTCGCTAGCACCCCGCCCCCTGTCTAACTTGGGCTCCAGGATGGCATTCCAGTCCCCCATTAAAACTAGGCGCGTTGAATCCACCAGGAACGGCCCCAACCGCTGAAAGAACGAGACCCGCTCAACCTGGTCATTGGGCGCATAAACCGCAACAACCCGGAACGAACCACTTTTCACGGCAATATCGGCCACGATCAACCGGCCCTCTGCATCGGTATGCACAAGGTCCACCTTCGCATCGAGAGTACGTCTGACAAAGAATCACCTCTGGCAAACCGGTCCCCATATGCTGAATAAACGACAAAGTCATCCTCCAGCACACACGCATCGGAACTGCAAACAAAGTGGGTCTCTTCGATCGCGGCGACATCCACATCAAAGGACAACAGGTCCCGGAGCAGGCGAGCAGCCTTACCCGGATCCATCAAGCCATTCACATTCAGTGTAGCTAACTTAATTGCCATCGTCTAGGCCTGCAAAAAGAAAAAAGAATAAGCGCAAAAACCTTATACACATACGGGGTGGAAATCTGCGTTGAGCAGGACCCCGACGGATTGCCCCAGACTACCAGGTGCCCAATTCAGTCGTCATACGACCGCCCACGACAATACCGCCGACGTCAATAGGGTACATTAATTTAATAGCCCTATATATGGAGGGGTGAACTAAAACCGGAACCCTCCCAGAGCAAAAGTTGCGCAGTTTCTTCAAGTCGGGGTTGTCCAACTCACACATTCTAATGTTCGGAAAGGCCTCCTTGGCCTCGAATATGTGGCTCCACTCTGACACAGGTAATGACACCTGGAGCCTTTGGGAAATTACGGGGGTCCTCGACACTTTTGCCGTCCACCTTCGTCGTTTTGTACAGCACCCCCAACAGGGCTTTCCTTTGTTTGGACAGGCCACTTATGTACTCTTCTTTGTCAATTTTACAAATTAACTCGGGGCCCTCAAACGATTTTTTTTTCTTCTTTTTCTGCCTAGCAGGATGGGGAGGGAGGAGGTGGACGTGTGTGGTGGTGTGTTCAACGAACTTGGGGAAGATGTGGAGGAGAGGGAATGTAGCACAGGGGAAGGGGAGGAAGGGAAGCTCTTAATGCCGGGAGAGCAGGGCGATCTAATTGGCGAAGCCGGGAAGGAGCGCCTCCTGGTTTTGACCAGACTGCGTTCCGCCCGGCTACGACCAGAACAACTTTTCTTGTTTTTTTTCTTTCTTCTTCTTCCTCCTCCTCCTCCTCTTCTCTGCACCTCTTCAGAGACGCCACTCGAGGTGGAGGCATATGTTCAACTTCCATCGGACTGTCTCTTTGTTCCTTTGGTAGCTGCTCCTGCTGTTGTGGTTGTTGTGATTGTTGTTGCTGCTGCTGCTGTTTCTGTGGGTTTTT